AAAACGACGTAAGTCGAATTTACCTGTCTCCGAATCTACTTATCACTAGGAAAGCATTTTAAATAATATATGGTTAATAAAAATCTATTTTAAGCTTACAAACAAATAAATTTTAGTTTTTAATATAGTACAAAAAAAGTAATCTAAATTTACGAATGCGTGTACTGTAAATACAGTACATACTTGTATATATTTTAATATGATTTTATGCGCTTTAAACGTTTATCTAGTGATATTACGACTTCAATATTTGTGGCGGACAGACGTAAAGTCGAATAAAATGACTTAAACTTGATTTTTATTTTTCCATATACTTTTTTAACAAGCGACGTATAATCGGGAACGGCGTAACTCGAAACGACGTAAGTCGAGGTATGCCTGTATTTAAATATTATCGTGTACTTTATCACTTTTCTATATTGAATATTAAAAGTTAATGACAGTTTTAAGTACATCTTTTAATATATACTAATCGATATAATGAAGTATTTAAAGGTAGAAATTATTTAAATACTTTATTTTAACTTAATTTATTGTAAATAATTTTAAATTACATTACCTTATTATGCTAGTCTTATCATTGATGACGTTGTTTAGATTAATTGTCCCAGATGTTTCTATTATTCTCGTGTTGAATTACCTTATTATAGCAGCAATATAAATAAGAATAAAGCTTATATTTTATCAGTTTTATAAAATTACTTATATTGAAATTTGACATATATAAAACGTATATTAATGAAAATAATTTTAATAGAAGTGTTAAGAGTAATTTTAATTACTATCTATAATAAATACAGTACATTTATATCGTGTTTTTTACATTCAAATCTAATAAAATACATTTTTATAATTTCTATTTTGTACTTTTTACAAGAAAAATGTAATTTAACATACAATTATATCAAATATGAAGTAAATAATTACATCTTAATGATAAATAGAACGATGATGATATAAAATTTATGTGTTGCTTTAAATAATATGATTATACGTTTTATTATACAATATTTACAGGTGTAGGACTCATCCTGTATCATTATTCTTAGATATTTTCTGAAAAAGGATAATTTTTTAGTTGTTTATCGTCGACAATTAGAAGAACCGTAGAGACCTTGTGTTAAAACTCGAATTTTCCTCCCCTGTAGTTTTATTTAAATGTTTCAAACGACTTTAATATTTATTTCCTTTTAAATCCTTCCAATCACAACCCGACACGTGTGAAGTTTACGGACTACGGCTGTTAGAAAGATTTTCTTCCATAAAATTAATCAATTCTATACTAATCCGACTCAACATTTCCAAAATACGTATATTTTTTTGGAGAATAATCCGTATAAACTACGCTATAAACAAAAAATTGTAGGATTACTTACTGAGTGTGCACCGCCATTGCTAATGCTTGTTTTTGTCGCGGAGCGTCCCTCTACGACGAAAACAAGCATTAGCAATGACAAAAGTTTTCTGATGACTTATTTTTCTGCAAAAACTTTGTTGAACTTCGGAGACATCATTAATATAAATAATTTTTATCGCCGTTGAATAAGAAATGTTTCTTTCACAAGAAATGTATAAAATTCCACTTAAATTACAAATGTATTAGACTTACGGTAGCTAATTTACATACTGAACAGACAATAGTTAGCGTAAAATCTCCGTAGCGTAACGCCACGCAGCAGAAAAAATATATATAATTATAATAAAGTTACAATAAATTAAGTTAATATATAATTATATATACAGTACCTAATTTATATATAATTAATATATAATTATATGTACAGTACCTAATTTATATATAATTTATATAATACTGTCCAGACGATAGAAATCTCTCTGTAGTTGGCACTATGGATGGCGGGAAAGTAGTTCGGCTGCTCGATGACGTTTGAGGTAATTATAGGGGGTTTTTTACTGTATTTTACGGATACCGGTCACAATTTTTTCGTAGTTTTATAGGAATCGTAATTATAGGGACCGTAATTATAGGACGGGGTCGACTGTACTTGCTAAAATATTTTACGTTGATGTTATATTTGTTAGGTGGGTATGATCCTTTAGTTTTTGTGAGAGATACATAGAAATTCGACTGAAATTTTTGTATCTCGATTTTCTCGGATTTGCTAATCTTAACTTTAAAGTCAAAAATTTTTATCTGCTTACTTTTCTCAGCCGTTAGATCGAAATCAAATTTTGTCTTTTTGTTTTCAACAGCCTCGGCTGTTTTAGGCTTGGAACCTCTTTTCTTATTATTTTTGTTTTTACGAAATCAAAATCAAATTCTACAATTAGTTTATAAAAAATTATAATCTAAATTAAGGTAGGTATTATTATTATTATTATTAAAATAAAAGTTACTTACCAACATCTGACAAGATTTTCCTTTAGCAAAAGTTTTTTTTACATAAATTGATGAGTTTTCTCTGGTAGAAAAGTCGGTCGATGAGTGAAGTTTAAGAAAAATTTACCCGCTTTTATCCTCAGCTACTGACCTACAAACCTTGTTATATGTGACGGTTGAAACTAAAATTAAAGCAGATCCATCTTCAAAGTAATGCTTATTGACAGATTAGGTTATTAGGTAACGAATATTAAGTAGGTTAGGTCATAAGGAAAAGTTTGTTTTCTTTGTCTTGTCTTCGAAGAGTTATTATCTATGTCATGGGAACGTCTTCTAACTAGAACGCAGCTGTTTTCGCATGAGAGTCATTGACCTTGGAGAGCTTATTCATTTCTTTTACTAATATCTAAAGATTATTTTTTGTTAAATCTATAAAAACTAACACAAAACCCTCTAAGGAGTGAGAGGATAATATAATATTTTTTCTTGAATATAGCATGGAAAATATTGTGGTGGCTGGATATAGAGCTTTGATTAGAGGGTTGATTCAGGGACCATGTTGGGTATAGTAGAGAAAGATTTCTTTCCAATAATTCTGTTAAGAAATATATTACCAAAAATGTACACAGTTTGCTTTTCTATATTCGCCATATTAGTAACATTGTTAATGTTATAATGATAAACTTAAATAAAATTCAATGAAGAAGAAAATTATATCAATTTTAAAATAGTTAAATCTTATAAGAACCAATCATATTTTCTTTAAAACTCCAATCGTATATTATCTACAGAGATCAGCAAAATTAACGAAATAGATTAAAAAACGCGGTCCAATAATTTTGTTATTTAAGAAATATATTACTACAGTTTGCTTCTCTATATTCGCGATATCAATCACATTTTCTTTAAAAACTAACAGCACATCATATTTTTTTTAAGAACAAATCGTTTTTTTAAACTCAAATCGTATATTATCTGCAGATAAAAAGAAATACAGCCACATATTGTTATCTGTCACTGTTGCATCCGATCATAACAATTCTTCCTCCTCCTTGAAACAGGTGTGTATTAAATAAAACTTCTTTATATTTTTTAAGTATTGAAAACATTTTTAACAAAACTAAAAAGTACACAATTCTGTTGGATATAATCGGTATTATGTCTAAGCCTAACTCATATATAAAAACGGCTCGATATTCATGGCGAATCAGATGATTATGGTTGTATTTTCCTAATAAATAGTGCAAACAAGCAAATTTTTAAAAATATATATATTAAAAACATGATAGATTAATCTAATTTGCACCCCGTAACATGTCCTATCAAGTTGAATGAAAAAAATCTGGTTACCTATTTTTGTGGGTCGAGCTGAAAGCACAAGTTGTTTATTAATGAAAATCCTGTATCAGTATTTTCCTTTTGGTTTAGTATAAATAGTGCCTGAGTTTTGGGGATATAATTTCGAATAGCATCTTGTAATAGAAGAAAATGACAAAGATTGAATGCTGGAAATTAGCTAAATTAAATAGTAAGTTTTTTTTATACGTGTTTAGTATTAGTATTATATATACATACTAGCTGCAAGGACCCGCTTCGCTGGGTTTTTATTTGTGGGCAAAAAGTAACGATAGTGAAGATTAAGATAATTACATTATAGTCAATTTTACCCATTTTCACAGAATGCAAGAATTAGATCCCCCGTTTCCAGACTAATTAGAGACCTGGTCCCGATTCTATTTCTGAACGTCTCCTGTTCACGTCCAGTCAAACGAACTATTTTCAACGTTTTTGGAACGTTTACGATCGTTCTATAATCGAACCAATATTCGAATTTTATGTTCGAATTTAATTCGAACAAAGTCGAAAAAATCGAACAAAACATTCGAAATAGAAAGCCACTTTCAACTACTTTTAGCCTCATATCTTATGCACCCTTATAGCTATCGAGACGCAACCACCCCTATGCACGAATGGAGACTTGTGGCTACCACTACATACAAACACCATTCACGTGCGATGTGTAGTTTTGGCGAAAAAGTGAGATATAGGGACATACATGTCCATTTATATATATATATATA